GATTCTCCCTTTGGCTCTGATTGTACCCGGCTTTCCCAATAAACCTGTCTCCTGCATTACGGGGTTCGCCTGTTCCTTGGCTACACAGCGTAACATAATACCTCGCCTAACCATGGACCCCGCGGAGACCCAGAGGCTGCAACAGCAAGTCGACCAGCTGACTTCTCTCGTCACCCAGCTCCCGGAGCGACGAGCGGGTCAGGTAGAGATACCGTCTTCCCCGTCGCGTGCTTCCGCTCCTGTTCCAGTCGCCATGCCGGAGAAGTATGACGGCAATCCGGATCATTGTCAAGCGTTTTTAATGCAATGTGGTTTATATGTAGAAGAACATCCGGAACGCTTTGTAGAGGAGACGGCTAAGGTACGCTTTGTTATTTCACTGCTTACCGGGTGTGCGAGAGACTGGGCTACAGCGCTCTGGATGGATGACAGCCCCCTTCTGGACTCAGCGCGTGACTTCCAGCAGGCATTTAAAGGCATATTTAATCACCCAGCCGTCGGGCGCAGTTTGGGAGAGAGACTGTTCGATGTGAAACAGGGACCACGCACAGTCGCTGAATTCGCGCTGGAATTCCAGACGATCGCAGCGGTGTTTCGTTGGCCGGATGAGGTCCTCCGGATTCTCTACCGCCGCGCCTTAAACCCGGAAGTGCAGGACGAACTCACTTCACGTGGCGCCACCCTTTCCTTTGAGGAATACATTGGGCTGTCAGTGACCATTGACAACAGCGTCAGGGAACGGCGACGGCGACGTCCCTGCTTGGCCACCGTCCCTACCCCACCGGCTGTCGCAGAGGGTCCTTCGGAACCGATGCAGCTCGGACACGCCCCCCTCTCCATAGCCGAACGACGCCGGCGCGTAAACGAGGGACTCTGCATGTATTGTGGAGAGGCAGGACACGTCCTGCGCACCTGCCCCATCCGACCATCTCACCCAGGGGCCCGCATGAAGGTAGGTCTTACTCCTTATGTTGGCAGCTCACTGGTGCAGGTTCCGATTGTTGTTACTGGGTGCGGAGCAAAACACCACGCATGTGCTTTAGTAGATTTCGGGGCCGCTGGTAATTTTATGGACCTCAGGCTAGCACGCCGTCTCGGGTTCCCGCTGCTGGTGTTTTCCAACCCGGTCTCGGTGCTTGGAGTGAATGGGGACCCACTTCCAGGAGGGCGAGTGACACACCATACAGGCCCGGTCACTCTGCAAGTGGGCGTGTTTCATGTTGAGACCCTCGACTTCTTGATTCTTCCCAAAGCAAGGGACCCCGTCATTCTCGGTCACCCCTGGCTGCAGAAGCACAACCCCCAAATTGACTGGAGGACCGGTGAGTTGATCGCCTGGTCATCCAAGTGTTTTCAACACTGCATAGCTCGACCTTGTTATGCTTCTTCCATCGAAAGCCCCGAACCCGAGGATTTCTCTCGTATTCCGATCGAATACTCCGCCTTCAAGGACGTCTTCAGCAAAGCACTTTCCTTCCGGTTGCCCCCTCACAGAGAATGTGACTGTGCCATTGACCTCCTCGAGGGGGCGCACTCCCCGAAGGGCCATCTGTATCCCCTTTCGGTGAGGGAGGAGGAGGCCATGGAGACGTACGTTCAAGAAGCCCTCAACCAAGGTATCATCCGCCCCTCCACATCACCAATCACAGCAGGGTTCTTTTTCGTCAAGAAAAAGGATGGGGGTCTCCGGCCATGCGTTGATTATAGAGCACTTAACACCATCACCGTGAAACGGCGAGAGCCCCTACCTTTAATCCCGTCTGCCTTAGAACAACTCCGGAGGGCAAGGATCTTCACCAAACTAGACCTCCGCAGTGCTTACAATCTGGTACGAATACGCAAAGGCGACGAGTGGAAAACGTCCTTCATTACCAGCACAGGTCAATATGAGTACCAGGTCATGCCGTACGGGCTAGCTAACAGTCCTTCGGTCTTTCAGTCCTTCATGAATACCGTCTTTAAAGATATGATAAACCGTTTCGTAGTCGTCTACATTGATGACATTCTGATCTATTCCCCCTTGACGTCACAGCATGTCTCCCATGTGCGTCAAGTGCTCCAAAGGCTGCGCGAGTACCACCTCTATGCAAAGGGAGAGAAATGCGAGTTTCATCAAACCCAGGTACAGTTTCTTGGATATGTTGTCCGACCTGGAGAAGTAGCCATGGACGAGAAAAAGGTCACGGCTATCCAAAACTGGCCACGCCCTCGTACTATCAAAGAACTCCAAAGATTTTTAGGTTTTGCTAATTTTTACCGTCGATTTATCCGCAGTTTCAGTCAGGTCGCTGCACCCCTTACCTCACTTACCAAGGGTTCCGGCTTCCGGCTAGTGTGGACGGCAGAAGCTGAAACTGCGTTCCAGTGTCTACAACATGCCTTCTGCTCTGCCCCCGTTCTCCAACAGCCCTGTCCAGAGAACCCTTTCGAGGTAGAGGTGGACGCCTCTGAAGCGGGAATAGGTGCCGTCCTAATCCAGCGTAACCCTAAAACCGGGCGTCGTCACCCCTGTGCTTTCCTGTCAAAGAAACTGACCTCAGCTGAGCGCAACTACGACGTGGGAGATAGAGAACTGTTAGCCATTAAATTGGCATTGGAGGAATGGAGGCACTGGTTAGAGGGAGCAAATCATCCTTTCCAGGTGTTCACTGACCACAAAAACCTCGAGTACCTACAGCGGGCCAAACGGCTAAATCCGCGCCAAGCACGTTGGGCAATGTTCTTCGCTCGATTTGATTTCACCGTGAGTTACCTCCCGGGAAAGAAAAACCTAAAGGCAGATGCTCTTTCTCGCCAGTTCGATCCCCCAGAGGCAGCCTCCCACGCGGAACCAGTATTACCACCTACTTGCTTTGCCGCGCCCATCACCTGGTCATTGGAGGAGACGATCCGAACCACCAATGAACGCGTGGCACCGCCACCAGAATGCCCAGCAGGTCGGCTATACGTGCCCCACCTTCACCGCCCGGCTGTGCTCACTTGGGTACACACGTCCCCCAGCTCCGGACACCCCGGTGTCTCAACCACGCAGCGCCTGGTAGCCAGGAGATATTGGTGGCCGGGCTGGAGAACGGCAGTTGAGAAGTATGTCGCCTCTTGTCCTGAATGCTCCCAATTAAAGTCGTCCCATCAACCCCCAGCCGGTCTACTCCAGCCCTTACCTGTTCCGTCATGTCCTTGGTCCCACATGGCAATGGATTTCATCACTGATCTTCCCAGTTCGAAAGGTAATAGCGTAGTTTTAACGGTCGTCGACCGTTTCTCCAAGATGAGCCGTCTCATAGCACCCCCCAAGCTCCCAAATGCAGCCGAGCTCGCCGAGGTCCTCATTACCTGGGTCTTTCGTTACTATGGGTTTCCGGAAGACATAGTATCAGACCGGGGCCCTCAGTTCACCTCTCGGGTGTTCAAAGCCTTGTGTTCCAAGCTAAACATTTCCCTTAGTTTCTCGTCGGCCTATCACCCCCAGTCCAACGGTTTAGCTGAATGCACTAATCAAGAGGTGTCAAAAAACCTCCGGCTTCTTTGTAACAACAAACCCACCGAGTGGGCGACGCACCTCCCCTGGGCTGAATACGTCTTGAATTCCCGTTTGAACCCGGTCACTGGTATGTCCCCTTTTCAGTGTGTTCTAGGGTATTCTCCACCTCTCTTCCCCTGGGACTCGATAGCAGGAGACGTGCCGCAGGTGGAGGAGTGGTACCGGGAGGCTAAAGCCACCTGGCAATGTGCACAACAAGCCCTTTCCCGCCGAGCCACCCGACAAAAAGCCCAGGCCGATAGGAGACAACGGCCAGCACCACCTTACCGTGTGGGACAGCGGGTCTGGCTGTCCACACGCAACCTAAAGTTGCCATCATGCCGTAAGTTGTCCGCTCGGTTCATTGGCCCCTTCAAAATCCTTCGAAAGGTTGGACCCACTTCCTTCCGTTTGTCACTCCCAAGCATGTACCGCATCTGCCCCACGTTCCATTCCTCCCTTCTGAAACCTGTGCGGTACAGCCGGATGCATTCCTCGACAGAGGTGGCAGTTCCACCGCCCCCTGCGGTTCAAGACGGCTCCCGGATCTACCAGGTCCGGTCTCTCCTGGATTCTCGGCGCCGTGCATGGACACTACAGTATCTGGTGGACTGGGAGGGCTTCGGACCGGAGGAACAGTCCTGGGTGCCTTGGGTTGACATACTGGATCAGGATCTGCTTTCGCACTTCCATCAGCAACACCCGTCTAAACCGGCTCCGAGGTCCCGGGGTTGCCCTCGGCGCTCTTCTCGGCCTCCAGGGGGCGGCCGTCAGGGGGGGGGTACTGTCACGCCCACAGGGGCAGGGCGACACAATGGTAGACAATCGCCGCTTAATCAGCAGGACGATCCGTTACCTACTTAAGCCAATCGCAACTTCCCGGAAGCGTTTTGACCGTCTCTTGTTTCCCCTGTTCATCCTGCCTGCTGTGTTCTGCCCTGCTGTTTCATCTACCCTGCCTGCTTCTCATCCCTCCTCGACCTGCCCGTTCCCGTCCGACCTGCCCTTCTGCCCTGACGATTCAACCCCGCTTCCTTCGTCATTTCCCCGTCCCGTCTCTCCGTGTAGGACTGACTCTCCCGGTTATCGACATCTGCCTGTTTTACGACTACCCGTTTGGATTCTCCCTTTGGCTCTGATTGTACCCGGCTTTCCCAATAAACCTGTCTCCTGCATTACGGGGTTCGCCTGTTCCTTGGCTACACAGCGTAACACCTACAACTATGTGCCTTATGGTCCGGTGCGTCTTATGGTCCGAAAAATACGGTATGTGTGTGTATATATATATATATATATATATATATATATATATATATATATATATATTACTGTTATAATTTATTTAATTTACGTGGTTCAAGATTCTATAATTAAATATTTCTTTTTCTAAGTACATAACTGGTTTGTTTACAGATGTCAAAATAACGACTGGAGAATAAAAACTAAAATTACATACCATGTATTCTTTCACAAGGTTCTCGGGCTCTTCGTTCAGGTACATATAGAGGGCTTTGATGATGCACTCTCTCCTGACATCAATGCCGTCGGTCTGAGTATGTAGGCCAGACAAAGTCACCACAGAAATAAAAAAGAAAAACCATTTTAATCAATAGGTAGAGTAGATGTCACAAACATAATGCAACATTGAATGAGACATCTTTTCAAATATAACAATCTTTATTGACATATTTTATGATTTATGAACTTACAGTATCTATGGGCGCATCAATACTATATAACTTTCAAATCACAATTAAAGGAACCTTCAATAATGTTGGTTAAAAGCATAGCACAGTCCAAGCAATACATTTAATCACAGAAATATGTAAAATAAAAGCATTTATGTGGTCCCAGGAAACAGTAACTACCATTATAACTTCAGTGGACATTGTCAAATCTGCCCAACATTGCAAATTGTATCAGATCCTTCTCAGAGAAAGTACTACATGCCCTCTCAGTCTAGTCTTATGTCTCTCCCTCCCTCTTACATTACCTCTTTAAATTTCAAGCCTTTGCAGAAGTTTAAAATAATAAACTGTACAGGATTGACAGTTTCTATTTTTCCCCCCATTATCATACCTGAGTTATGGGTATCATAATGCTTCTAATCTTTCTTCCTTGAACGCTGCCTTTCTTGCCAAACACCCTCGTCAGGGTTGAAGACTGAGCATCCAGCTCGCAGAAGAACTTGGACAGCAAACTGACTGTTGTGATCCTCTTAAATTCAGCAGTTAGCTTAAATGGGAAAAAGGGTACATAAAAGCAAGTTTGAATATCATAACAGTGAAATTATTAACTAGTTGAACAAATGTCATCATTTACCAAATCTTGACAATATGGCTTCCCATATTTTGTAATCAGAGTGACAGGATGGACAGGGAGGAGGCGCCGGGGCTGGCGCCTGGCTTCTGGGACCGCGAAGAGTGGTGAATCCTATGTCGAACAGGGTGCCAACAGGTGCTGCAGCTCCCTTGTTATTCCTTGTATGAATAACACTGTACATATTAAATGAAGACATATTCCAATCAAAGTAAATAAGTGCTGTGCATTTATTCACTTACCTAACGGAAACATAAGAGAGCCGGCCATCTGTTTTTGAAATCAGCAATCAAGGGTGCATCACGAATAACTTCTTGTCTTCTGTGTGCAAATGTCTTCTCCATCAATGCTGCCACTGTGTTCTCATTGTTCCTTTTCCTAACTTCTAAAAGAAGGGTCTCTCTTATTTTTTCAAGTGTCTCTGCAGATTCACCAGCTGGGTAGGTGGGGCAGTAGTTCACTTTGGCCTTTCTGGGCTTCTTCACACCATAAGCAGGACTGCATTTGTCTGCAGGTTTATTTGTGAGGGAATTCAGTTCAACCTCTGGGCATCCAAGCCGCTTTAGCTTCTGTCTGTATTTGGCAAGTTTGTATTTTAAGCTCACCTTCCAGCCACTATATCCAGTGGCAGAGCCTGGTTCTTTCAAACATGGATGGGATGTGACAAGGGCTTTAGCAATCTCTTCAAACTCACTGTCTGAGGGGTACACTTTGTACTGAACAATTGCTTCGGCTAAACCGTCAAGAATGGCGGTTTTAAGTCTAATGTCTTGATTCAAAAAAGTTCTGCTTTCTTTGAATGCAGCATTAGCTTTGTCCAGCTGTAGCTCACAATCAAATGGGAAACGGGGCACAAGAAAAACAACAGGCCATCCAGAGGACCGTGAAGGGGTGGACTCAGGAGTAGACAAAATGTCTGCATCATATGAGCTACTGGATGAAAGTTGTGGCTCATTACTAGACCATGATGGGCAAGGAGTGGAGTAAGGTTTAGGGGGTAGAGAGCCACCAGGCAGGTCAGATGCAGCTGAATCAAAGATGAGCTTTAAGGTACTTCTGTCCTGGATCTCTGACACTGAAGTCAAGTTGGTAAATTCATTGCCGAACTCTGCATCCATAAATTGCAGCCTGAAGTGGGCTTCTACCCCACACTGACTCTTAATGTGCTGAACAAGTTCACCAACCGTATCTAGAATTCCATCTTGCAGGGTAAGTCTCTGGGAATTGTTTTCCCCGAGGATAATTCTGAGCTTTACTGGAGTAGCCATGTCTGTAAATAAAAAACATATAAATACATATGCTTTTGTACAAGAGTAAATCTTATCTAAGATTTTGAGAGAGTTATTTCCATTGATTATATAAAAATAAACCAAAAGCTAAGAGCTCATTTAAAAGGAAAGCTACAGTGTGTAACAAATTCATGAAAATACCTTGGTTAGAATAAAGAAAAGTAGTGCAGGGATAAAATATACTGTAAGGTCACTTTTCCGATGTCATTAAATCATAGTTCATGATATTTCCAGTTTAATACATTTAATATTTGCGTTAAACATTTCTTCACCAGTTCATCTATTATCAGGCTAGTTTTTATTTTGATAATAACGCATGAAATTATTACAGTTCTTCTTTTAATTCCAAGAGAGCAGTGACAGTCCAATTAACATAAAAGTTTTGAATCAAAATGCCATCATACCTTATATATGTATATATATATGTCTTTTTAATGTCACCATTCTGAGAGACCCAACCAAGTAGTCTGCCAGAGGGTAGTCATCTGCCAGTTCACTAAGCTCAATCAGATCTATGTCATTGATTGGACATGCTGTGAGCTCAAAGGCTCTGTGATGCTCACTATACCACCCACAAAGTATCTTAACCATAAAAAACAGTTTCTCCTGAATTACAAAAATGTGAACAATCTGTCCAAAGTCAGGAAGTCTACTTGTGGACCCAAGAGCTACAATCATGCCCTTTTTGAAAGTTACACCTTTGGTTGACACAGATCTAGTTTTGTGCACCTCTCTTGTACCAGGAAATTTCTGCTCAATATTCTCAACAAATTCTTTTTTTTAAAACATCTACAGGAACTGTTGAGACATTTGTCATCTCAAGAGCAGGCTTTTCAAAACTAGATGCTCTCATGTGATATGAAATCATGAGCTGATGCTTGAAGGCTAGCGAGAGGGGCACATTTTTGAAGCAGTTTGAGTGTCGAATGATGTGCTTAAAAACTGTGCTTGGCCTCAAATCGCATCGTCCAATGACCAACAAGAGGACCAAACTTCCTGATGAGTGCAGGATAGTGTTCTAAGAAATTGTTTGGGTAGAAGCTGCACATTAGGAAAGAATTCTTGATATATTTTGCGGTGCTCTGAAATTTTGCACTCAAGGTAAGCAATGGAGTCTTCTGTGTGTGTTGGAGCAACCAATAGCTCTACAATGTCTTTCAAAACCATTAGAATCAGCCATGCCATCTCGTCTTCCGGCACCATATGCCCAATGATGAATGGGAGAAATCTTATCAGTGTCCAATTCTCATGAGCATTCCCCCCAATTGTTTTTGAGAATGTGTGTGGGATCATGTGAGGCCTGTTAGTTTTATCTGACCACTTGTAGGGAATAGATTTGTTTAGAAGCTCTAGACTGAAATATTTCTTCGATATCAGCAGTGACAAACAATGTGCAAGCTGATATCTGGGGGATAACCTGTTTGAACACTAAAGTGGGCAAGGTTTTTAGTGATTACACACTGTCTTTTCACCCCAAAACTGCTTGAACTGTTCTTCTGTGCTGAATTTACATGAGTCATGTAGTTCTTTAGTCCTCAGATCAAATTAACCTGATCTCACGTCTCTCATTTGGATCTCTGTCTGTGTTGCTGTGCAGAATCTGCAGATGTTTCCAGCAGTAAAGTTCTCATTAAAACCTGCTATACTGTGGGCACTGATATCTTCTGTTATCTGCTGCAACAACTTGAATAGTTCCTTTAACACACTTACCAAGCAACGGAACAAAAATTCCATCCTGCTCAAGGGTTTTTACATCTTGTAGAGGAGGATGCAAGACACGGTCATAACTATACTTCTTCACATCATCAGATTTGCACAAGACTGCAAGGTAAATTGAGGAAAGTGCTGAATGTGAGCCTGGAGGCAAATTACTCAGAGTCCAGTAGATTCCATAGACCTTATGTTTCCTTCGGGAAGTACCCAAAGGATTGCATACCTTGAAATCATCTATGTACAAAGTTAACAAGATTCTCAATTCACCCTCTGAAAGAAAACCATTTCCCTTAAAGTGTGAGCCATCCTGAAATGATTTATAAGTACTGTATTCTGTTCTCCAGTTATCCCATGACTCTGTGTTCTGTGGTTTTCAACAATTTTATCCACAACATCTTTCCTATTGCAGAGCTGTTGCAAGCTCCTCAGTATAGGCACATACTGAAAGCTATTCTTTTGCCTTTCATGGAGCATGTCCTCAATTGGCTCAATGACAAAGTTTTCTTTGTAAAACTTGTTTCAGAGATATGATGTGCTCAGACAGCCACCCTTCTCTATAGCTTTTAGCAACGGGTGAGACGCAGAGAAGGCTGTGGCTACTTCTTTTATCACTGACTTGTCGGTCGTGGAACCATGTTTCTGTAACACAGCTTCAATAATGTTTACAGAGAGAGGAAATGTGGCTGAGCATAACAAATAGTGCAGATCCTCTAAAAACGCATTGATTTTGGTGCCTGGCACATGCACAAAATGTTCTAGTTTCAGCAAAGCTGTGGCAAAATTCTGCTCAACTATGTCAGGCAGGGTCTTGCTTATATCCACATCATTACTTGGAGATGCACTGTTTGATTCCACTGCAGAGTCGTCTGGGTTAAGAGTATCTTCCTCTGCACAGTCAGATGATTCTTGTGAAATTCTGGTTGTTGTCACCATACCTGGTTTAAAATCATTTAATGTATGGGGGTTGTGTTTCCTGTTCTGGTGGGAGTGAAAAGTTCCATAGATATTTGTTTTGAAAGGACAATTCCCAAACATACAAGTAACAGTTTCATGGCTTTCTCTCTGAAGGCCAATATGTATGAAAAAATCCCTCTCTGTAGAAAGATTACTACAATTGCACGATGGACAACTAAATGTTTTTAATTCCAGGACCTCCTGACAAGTTTGCTTAGGATGAACTCTACTTAAATGTATGTGCAAAGCATTTAGTGTCTTAAAACTACACAGACAGTTTAGAAGTGGGCATGAATAACGTTGTCTATTGTGGTGCTGTAGTCTCAAATGTTTAAGTACATCATATCTACCAGAAAAAGATACACTGCACTCCTTGCACCTCCACATATCAGTTACACATAACAGTAAAGATCAAGCACATCTGGGCACAATATTTAACCTCTGTTTCTTATCTTCCCCTTACTTGATCTTAAACAGCTTGCCATTATATTTATACACTAAAGTATTTAAATTATGAACCTGACACTAGCAGATGACTCCCTGTTCCTGCAGTCACTCTTGTTCGATGAAGTCAGATCACATAGAACAAGACACTTTCACAGGAGGATGGCGAATGGAGGTGGAGACACTTGTAAGATGACACAGGACATAAATTTCTGTGATAAATTAAGAGAGAGAAAAGAGAGACATCAATTCTGTGTTATGTAATGACTTCACACAATCTTAGTAAGGGAGCTACAAATCTTAAAGGTTAACAACATGAATAAAATATAAACATACAATTTTCCCTTTCCTACTTTTAAGCATGTATTTCTAAAAAAACTTTATCAGTGCTATTTAAAAATACTAGAGGTAAAGCAATATGTCACAATCGGAAGGTATGCGAGTCGAGGAAGCAGGCGAGAGCAGCCAGGAAGTCGGGTGAACGGAGTTTTATTGCTCGACAGACAGACAGGTAGGGACATCTACGGACACTACAATGACGGATCTGGGCAGACTCACTGAGACAAGGACTAAATACAAAAGACAAGCTACGGGTAACGAGCCACAGGTGAGAACAATCAGGGATGAACATGAGGTAATGAGGGGGCGTGGCACACATGAGGATCGTTCGGAGTGGATCGTGACACAATACATATCTGGACTGAATCAAACACCAGCATTTCGCTCAGTGAAAGTGCTGTTGTGTTAGCGGAACAACTGGTATGAGTGAAAAGTGTGTGTGTTACCAACTCCTCAGTAAGGAAAGTAGCTGTTGGCTGTCCTAGAAGTCGCTAAATGATGTTATCACCTAATATGCATAATTGGCCACGTGTATGTAATAATTGGCCAATTGTAATGTTCGCTCTAGGAGAGAGGAATAAAGTCGTGGGAGGGACAAAAAGTGAGTATAAAAAAAAAAATAATAAAACCCTAAATATGTTTAAACTAGGGCTGTTGAGCGAATTACCAAATTACTGAATGGTGATTTATCGATAAGGTACATCTTAAACTGTAGTTAAGGAGTTATTCATTTTTGTTACAATATCTGAAACGTTCAACACATACTATTCTGCCTCTGGATGACTTGTCTCTCTCATTCACACAGAGTAACAGATATGATACATGTGTATTTTGCGGAAACAACATGCCGTTGAAGAACAATGTCAGCTGTGAAAATCCTCACCAAGCGCTTTAATGGCATTCATTTATTAAGTGAAAATTATCACCTGCAAAATTTTGAAATGTGGCGCAGAATTTTTTCAGTACCCTTCAGCCACCACTTCACGAAGTTGGGAACCGTAAAAGCGAGTCTCCAAAAGTCTCCAATAATCTCGCTAGATTTAAAAAAGCTAGTCACTGTTTTGAAAAAGAGTCATCTAGAGCAGTGGTTCTCAAACTGGGGGCCGCGGCCCCCTGGGGGGCCACCAGATGGCGCTAGGGGGGCCACATCGAAATTGTATCTAAAAAAAAAAAAATTACCTGTATGTAAATCAGGCTTGTCAACCTATGTAAAATATAATGTATTTAAAAAAAAATAGAAGTATAAAAAAAATGTAAATATAAATTTTACTTAGCACACTACGCTGCTATGGACATTATAAATTACTGTTCAGTATTCAGTACTTTTGTTGCACTTTTCAGACAATTTTAGTTTTACTGTCATAAGAACATAAGAAATTTACAAACGAGAGGAGGCCATTCGGCCCATCAAGCTCGTTTGGGGAGAACTTAGCTAATACTGTCAAAACTGTTTTAATACAATGTTATATTTTGTGAAATGTAAATTTAACAAACCAGAGAAATAAAGACTACAAACAGAATCT